CAAATATAAATCTAATGTGTCGAGAGTCTCTGTGTGTGAATCATGTATTCATGTGATAAGAATTTACAAATCTGGCAGCCGCGTAATGAGCTAATATTCAATTGTATATATATTTTACGTACATCTCTAGTCAACGGAATAATTACATTCAGCGACACTTTAATTTTTGTCCTTTTTATTTCAAGAAATACACTTAGTTTCTTAGACATATTTTCTTTGTTTCCGGTACAAAATATAACAAAAATACTCCTCTACACGCGCGTGGACAACAGACAAGTCAAAAACAATCATGCGCGTAAACATAAATCGTAGAGATGATATTGTGGACATGATAATAATTTCTGAGATTGTTACAATAACTTATCCACAAATATTGTAATTATTCATTTAACTACATACTTACTTATCGTAACATGTACACAAAGAGAATTTATTACTAATTAGTCTTTTGTCTAATTCAGTCCTCGATTGAAAAATTTATTGCACCCAAAAGTATAACACCTATGTATTTTTTGGTTTATTTAATAAAAGCATATCCACTTTTCTTTGATAATAATGTTGGTTATATTGCTTCAGTTTTTTCTGACAAATGTGGCATCATTTCCTTGAAAACTACATAGTTATCTGAGATAACATTGTCCACAAAAACCTACAAGAATTACAAGAATTTACAAAATTTACAAAATTAACAAAAATTCATTTTAACTTCATAGTTTTCGAAGATAATATGTCCATAAAAACTTATATTACATCGAAATTTTGTTAATTTTGTAAATTCTTCTAATTTTTGTTATCTAATCTTGTGGATAGGGTATTGTGTACATGTTATTGTAGGGAAGTATGTAGTTAAAATGAATAATTACAATATTTGTGGATAAGTTATTTATAACAATCTCATAAACTATTATCATATCCACAATAGCATGTCTACGATTACGTTTTTATTATATATCAATTGTCTTAATCTATATGCGTATTATTGTTTTTGATTTGTTTATGCGCATTTTTTTAGAGGTATTTTTGTATAAAAAACAAAGAAAGTGTCTAAGAAACTAAAGTGTACTCCTTAAAACAAAAATGTTTCCGAGTGTAATCAAACCCAGTCAACTCTCAAAAATGAAAAATTTAATAACTTGAACGAAAATCGTGGAATGACTTTAACAAAAAAAAAAGGTTAAAATCGTGGAATGATAAATAAGATCTTTTTATCTTCTTCTTGTCAAATGTCAATATTACCCCAATATTTTATTGCTAGTGGATCTTATTATGAAAGAACAGCAACAACGAATATTATAATGGGTGATGATTACGGTTTTGAATTTCCGCATCAGATGCTCGAACCAAGAAAAGATATATCTATTGAGTTGTATTTTTCATTTGACAAACCACACTATAACAAATTAGTAAATTCTGATTGGTACCTCTCAATTACAAATTGATAAATAATTTCGCCATTGTAAAGGATTTTGCCAATCATATAATTGTGCAGAATCACGGATGAATAAAAAAATTTTCATGAAACCATGCAGAAACAGGACGACCTCACTAAAATTTTTTTGATTTATATAGCGTATATATGTAAATACAGATGTATTATAGAGTACACAGACCAGAATAATGGAAATGGATAAAAGATCATATGCGTGATCGTGACATAGTTAATGAGTCTATTTGTCTTCATATGTCTTCCCCACCGATGGTTAAGTACGTAGGAATTGTTTTATTTCTATTATTTTTTTTTGATGAAATGATTTCTCTGTTTACATTGGTATTTTTGGACCAATAGGAATTGGATGCATGAGAAGAACATGAATCATAGGATAATGACAAAAGGTTCTGACTCATTACACATCCTCGTTCTAATCCTTCCATGCTTTCTAACTATTACTTTATTTGGGGATATTCTCTTTATCTTTTATATATGTTAATCAAAGAGACGTTAAGTGAAAAATTCATATGTATCATTTAATAAAAATTTTAAATAATATATCATTAAATTTAACTAATCAAAATATTTTAATTAAAATTATATGTTATAGTGAAATTTTATACATATTTTCATTCATTTAATAATATAACTCAAGTAATACATGTTTACAAATTTAAACCCAACTAAATGTAAAATTTTG